ACTCAGGGAAGCCCAGGGCAATTGCTGCCAGGAAGCCACAGTCCAGAACTAGAGTCTTAGAAATTCCACGTTGTAGGCTCCTCCTCCCCCCACACCAAGGAGTTTTAAAGGGAAAGAGTGGGAGCGGGATAAAGAAAATAATTGTCTATTATTCTCCAGGACCTGACAGAACAGCGACTTCGGGAAGCCCGGCCGGGTGGGCAGGTACTCGCGGTGGCCACCAGATGGCGAAGGCTGCTCGCCGCGCGGGGGAGAACCGCGCTCGCCCCTCGGCGCGGAAACTGCGGCGCGACGCGAGGGCCAAGGGCAAGGCGCTCCGCCTGCGCGCGGAAAGCAGAGTCGCACCTCAAGTTAGAGAAGTTGCTGTGCGAGTCCTGCTGCCTCCACAAGCTTATAGAAGCAAGTTTAGGGCTTTTTAAGGAGACCTGGAGGTGGGGGATTAAAGTGGAGGGTGCACGCCCTGCTGCCGAAACCAAGCAGTGACTCGCGCGTGGGGGTTGGACGAGGATCCCTCGGGAGCCCGCGCCCTGGGGGGACCATCTCTAAGGCTCTGCTCCGTACGTGGCGCAGCTAAATCCTCCCCCTGGGGACCTCGATGCTCCTCTTCTGCGAAGCGCAAAGGGCTCCTAGGGCCGAGGGAGAAAAGAATAAGGGATAAAGAGACCTTTAGGAGAGAAGGTTTATTTTTCCTTTCAGCCATAATAAGGGAAAAGTCGGTGGCCCTCAAGGTCAGCGTCCTCATCATGTTAAAAAAAAAAAAAAAATGTCCGTAGTAACTTCAGGCGTCATTCCGGTCCGGGAAGGCGGGGACCCCGAGGGTGTGCGCTGAGCCCAGGCCTCCGCGGGTCGCAGGATAGGTGACCTCCGCCCCGGCGAGGAAAGGTGCAGGTGGACAGATTGCGCGGGGTCGAGACCACCCGGGCCGGAGCTCGAACACCCGAAAGCCTGCATTTGAAGGATGGGAGACGGAGGGGTGGGGATGTCACAGAACCGGACTCAATCGGGCTCATTGCAGTCTTGCAAATGGTCTTTAAAAAGCGCCTCCTGGTGACGCCGACATCCCCGCGAGGTGGAAAGCCAAACTTGTGCAGTGGGCGCGCAACGTAGTGGGGGACATCGCGGCGCGAACGCGAAAAAAAAAAAAAAAAAGGATGCAGCCAGCATCCAGGCGAGTGGGAAATGAGTGATTTTAATTTCTGTCCCCCACTGGAGGATCAATTTCGATTAAAATCAAGGGACCTGCGGGAATGGTTTTTACTCCGGTGCGTTTCCTTTACACCTGCAAAATTTTTTTTAAAAACTGCATCATCAGCACCTTCCAGAGAGAGAGAGAGAGAGAGAGAGAGAGAGAGAGAGAGACTTGTTTGGTTCAGAAAGAAGGAAGAGACTGCAGAGGAAAGGGAAGCCTGCGAGTCTGCCTTTACACCAGTTTAAAGCTAATCAAAGGTGTCTGGAGCAGAGGGAGGCTAGGACCAAAAGCTGATCCCTAGCTTGAAATTTTCCATCACGGAGTTGGGAGATGCTTTGCTGCAGACTCCGAGCGGGCTCCAAACCCCGGCCCCCGTTCCCAGTTCGGCGCACTAGTCAGCAGCTTCCCCCATCGCTTCCTTCTTTTCCTACTCTTCCTGCCTTTCCCAGTGGGCGGCTCAGCACCCCACTGCCCGGAAGCCCACCCCAGGCCCCAGCGATTCGCAGCGTCGGCACCCAGAGGGAGGAACCTGGGACCAAGGGTAGCGACCTTGGGGCGGGGTGGGGAGCGCAGGGAGGCTCCATCCCCGAGTTCTTCCCAAACCAGAAAAGACTTCCAGGGGCTACCCGGGAGCCTTTTTTTTTTTTTTTTTTTTAACTAACAACAACAAAAAAAGGCTATGTAAAGGACAGCGTGGACGATGGCAACACCATTTCCAACTCAGAGTCGGGTCCTTTTTGCACTTCGTTCTCCTCTGGGCTCTCTCATTGCAGTTTATTCGCTTTTGTTTGGAGCAGGAACCGAGGTCGAGCGAACCCCGGCGGAGCAGCGGACCCCAAGCCGGGGTCTCCTTCTTGCGCCCGGGAGCGCCGCCCCGCGCGGGTGCAAACGCGGGGACCCCGGCAGGGAATGTAAACAAGCGGGGCGCCGAGCCCTTGATCTTTATTTAAATAGAGGCTTGTTTATCGGTGTCATCCTAGGAGGATTAATTAGATACATCTCTTCACAATTTGGTGTCTGACACTCCATCTTAGGAATGCCTTATCACAAGGTGTTAATTGGGGCCACTCAGCCACTTACGTTTCTATTAAACACTGTGAGGGACTTTTCACAAGTACCAGGTTCTTTTTACTGTACGGTGCAAAAATATACAGGACTCGAAATAGACTGGGGCCAGCGTCAGCTTTATCCCCGCGGCGATGAGCATTTTCGGGCTTTCTAGAGGGCGGAGCACCGCTCCGAAATTCCGTCGCAGCTCCCAGGACCTTATTTTGGTCCCTTGGGGGCGAGCGGGGCGCTGTCCAGGTTGGGGGGCGCTGCAAGCCCTCCCGCCCGAGGCTGAATCTGTCAAACATAACAAATACACAAAACCAGATTCCGAGCTTTCGCTTCTAGCGTCGTGAAATTCCGGGCGGCTTTGGCAAAGCGTTCTGGACAGACACGGTCACAGACCCGGGGCAAGAGTCCGGGCCCCCGAGGTCGCGGGCGGCGGGGGAAGAATCGGGCGGGCGCAGGGAGGGTGCGGGGAATGGGAAGCTGGGGAGAGGCTCCTGGCGGCCTTAATTGGGCGCGGAAGAGGAGGAGGTCCCGGCTGATTGCTCGCCTCCCAGCAGCTAATCCTCTTAGCAGCTGCATTTCCGCGCCACGCAGTTTAGCAAAATGACCCTCCCGGCAGACCTTTACCCCGGGAGGGTCAGGAAGGGGCTGGAAGGGTTTGCAAGCTGGGCCAGAAGCCGTCTGCTGATAAGCCTGGCGGGACGTCTGGCTGGGGGACAAAGGGCCCTCCGCCCCACTCCTGGGTTTAACTTTTCGGCGGGCCCAGGGCTCAGCCGGGGGATGCGGTGGCCTTCGCCCTCCTGGGGATTGAGAGCCAAATAAACGGAGCTAGACTCCGGGCGAAGCGCTCCCCGGACGCTGTTTGCAGAGCGGAGCTGCACGGGACCACCGGAATCCTCACTTGTAAGTGTCGCGCCCGCCCCTGGCCCGCGGCGTCCCGGCGTCCCGGCCGGGTTTGCCCGCAGCGCCCGGCGGCCAGCAGCTGCCGAGGGAGCGGCCCGCGACGCCCGCGGGGCGCCCGGGGGCGCCCGGGGGCTCCGCTACCGAGAAGCCGCAGGTTGCAGCCGACACTGGAGTTGTGGGCGGCCCGCTTCCCGCCGCGCTTCAGGGACCGGTAACCCGTGGGCGCTCAAAGGGCCACGGGGTTTCCCGGGGAGCCCACGTGGGTCCGGGGATGGGTGGCCCCAGGAGAGCCTAGGAAAAAGCCCGGAGAACCAAGTGGTCACGGGCCGAGGCAGGGCCCGGAGTCCAAGGGCCGGGAGCTGAGCTTTTCCAGGCCAGGTTAAGCCCAGCAATGGGCAATCCTGCATGTCTGCAACCTCTCCTCTCCCCTCACCCCTGCCGGCAGGCCCAATACCCATTGTCCAGACTTCCCAGTGGGGTGAGGAAATAAACCCATTCATCTTCAAGAAAAAAAAAAAAAGAAGATAAACAAAAGCAACCCCACCCCCTTTGTGACTACAGTGTCCACTTACAGATTCTAGAGCCTGGGGGAGAAGGGGTGGGGGTGGGGGTAGGGGACTTAGTGTTCATGCTGGAGGGGGTGGAGGAGGAAGCAAAATGATTTTTAAAACAAAGATTAAAACTCTTAATACAGAAGACAGCTCTGCCCGTTCCCTTAATGAACCACATTTATTAAAAATGACTAAGACTGTACATAAAAATCCAAGGTATCTAAAAAGCCTATAGGAGCTGTGGCATCCGGTTTTAGTTTCTTCACATTATGGAGCTGGGTAGAGGGGATGGCAAAGAAAGAGGGTGAAGTAGGAGTTTTCATTAAACACGTTTCAAGTTAGTACAGAGTAGCTGAATACATTCTTAACTATCTAAGAAGTAAACAGAATATTCCCCAATATCCCAGATGATGAGAGAACCTATCCCCCTGGCCCTGCAACTGCTGTCGGGTGATTTGTGAATTCTTTACAAAGCCAAAGCACCAATTTTACATAATCTCAGACACATAAGGAGGCTATTTGTACAATATATCCCACATTATTCTACAGTGGATCTAAGCACACACAAAACTGTACACTTTAAAATTCTTCTTTTTTTTTTTCTTTTTTGGCGACTCCCTCGCCTGCCCTCTCCTGAGTCCTACTAGCCACCCCAGCATGTTAGCAGAGGACTAGCAAGTGAAGCAGTCCTGAACTAGGGGCAAACATGGCTTGCCGCAAAAGCCTAGGAGGAAGTCAGTCAGGTAAAGCCAGCACCTTCACATAAGGTTTTTCTCACCTCCCAGGCCTAGCATCTTTTGCCCCTAGCAGAAAGTAACAGCAAAAAGTCCCCCGTTGAAGCTTAAGGCCCAGCCCTCTCTTCCAGAAGCAAAACACCTTGCCACTCTGGGATTCTCCTTGCTTACAGAGTTACAAATAGAAACGAGAACCGAAGCTTTTGACCCATTGGCTAGCGCTCAGCACTCAAATCTTCACAGCCCGATTCTCGGAATGTTTAGTGCCTCCAATAAATAAATCCAGAACCTCAAATAACCTTCGAATTTTAAAAACGCTTTAAAGTCCTTCATTAATTTTATTTAAAAAATAAAAAAAAAATGGCGAGGCTCATTTCAGTTACCTGCAGCAATCAAAAAGCTTTGGTACCTTCTTTTAGAGGATTGCACAAAACGGGATGCATCAAGGTGGAATGCAAACGTCTTTTTGGCAAACCTAGGCAAAGAAGACAACAACAACAAAAAAAAAAACACCACCAAGTCCATCTGCAAAAAGTGAGCTCATTTTGACGAAGTTAAAATAACTCTCTAGGGAGTTGTGTAAAAAGCATAATACCCCCCCATGCCTTTTGAGGTGTCTTTACTGTACTCTTCAGCGTTAATGTCCTCACACTTTATGGAGGGTGAATTTTCATTACTAGAGGTGCTAGGAGACAGGCGTCGTCGCTTACAAGCACTGGTGTATACCCCCGAATCATTGGAATCGAGAGACTTGATGGAAGGGGGTGTCTCTATCCAAGAAGAGCTAATTTCTTCTTTGACTTTCTCCTTGGAGAGCTGATCTTCAGAGAACACAGGGGGGCTTGTTCTGGAGGTCCATGGGAGTCCAGCCGCCATTTTCCTCTGATAAGAACCCCGACCACCCCAGCCTGCCATGGCAGGGAAGGTTGGGTCAGGGTAATACCCCAGGGCGTGGGACGTCTGGAGGGGCAAGGATTTAATACCATAGGGGAGCAAGGTGCTGGAAGTATATTCAGACTCATAGGAACCGATGTCTAGTTTGTTGGTCCCAGGTTGTTGGACAGGCGTGACAAGCCACCGCTGGGGAGGGTTGGCCACCTCTTCGCTCTGTTGGGGTGAAAGGAGGCCGTTGGTCTGTGGCACGGTTCTCTCGCCATTATAATATCGGGCTTGAGGTAAAGTGTTGACAAAGGGCTCCGGGAAGAAGGATTGAACGCCGTACCGACCTCCAGGGACAATCTGATGGGATCTAGGAGAATCCGTGGGAGATGGAGTTAACCTGTCATTTTCTGAAGCGGTGTACATGCTACAATATAAAGAGAAACACTTAAAAAAAAAAAACCCTAATGTTGTCCCCAAATAACCACCTCCCAGAAATCAAAAAAGCTCACATAGTAGGCTGTACTGGGAGCACTGGTCTGCTGGAGTGGAGGGATGGAGGTAGGAGATGCACTGGTCTACTTCAGCTGGACCGTTGGCTCATACAAAACAAGTTTCCTCCCAAGCTCTAGGTATTTAAACTATAGAAAAATCTGCCTTTCCAGGTCCTAGAACTTGGAGAACAGTGCAATTCTCCTTTGTCAGTGTCACAGAAGGAATGCTGGCTATGGTGTTAGAAATCCCACATGTAAATGGTCTGGTGGGGCCTTACTGTTTAATGTTGTAAAAATGACATCCTCTTAGTTTTAGGTTTTTCTTATGTAAAATAATAATAATAATAATAATAATAATAAGAGAAAGAGTAATAATACCCAATCCTAAGAGGCTAAAAAAGTGGGATCAAATGAATGGCATATAAATGCAGATTATGAAAATTTCAAATCGCCACTCAAATGTTAAAAAAAAATTCCTCCTCATTTTAGAGCCCTTAACATTGCTTTAGAAAATGAACAAAAGGGACGCCTGGATGGCTCAGCAGTTGACCGGCTGCCTTTGGCTCAGGGAGTGATCCCAAAGTCCCACATCAGGCTCCCTGCCTGGAGCCTGCTTTTTCCTCTGCCTATGTCTCTGCCTCTCTCTCTCTCTGCATGTCTCTCATGAATAAATAAATAAAATCTTTATTTAAAAAATGAACAAAATCATTCCATGAAAATTCCAAAGCAAGATTAGCCATGGGGGGGGGATGCAAAAATAAAAATAGGTGAAAATCCCAAACAAATGTGAAATCTCTTCCTAGAACGTTCTCTGGGAAGTGTCTGGTTATATATGTCCTGTTCAAAGATGACTGTGCAAATATGAATAAAAGCTGCACTTACGAATCGTAGTTGTCTCTGAAGCCTTTTGCAAAGGGGTTATGATCAATCTTTAGTTGAGTTATCTAGACAGGGGAGAAAAATAGTCAGTCGTTGAGTGCTTTGTCACACTGGACCTAGCTGTAGAGATTCTTGGGACGTTTAGGAGGACACTCACATCGGTGTTTTGGTAGGCAGTCACCGCAATGAACTGCGTTTCGGAGAAGGTAAAGGTCTGAGTCTTTGAGGGCTCATTCAGATCCTCCACACCATCCTCTGTCACTTCAACAATGTGCAGTCGGGGTTGGTACTTGTGTAAAGACTGTAACACTATCATCTGGAAGTGGTACAGAGAAAGAGTTGCCAAATCCAAAGAGTCTCTTAGATGTAAATCTTAACAAACTACACGTCTTGGAATGGGACTCCTGCTTGCTCCCCCACCGACAGTTCTCTTGTTCTATAGCCACTTTTTAAGATCTTATCATTGCTGCTTTTGAAACTTAAACCCCTAGCTAGCTGGGTATGCGTGTTTGAAAAACACTCTTTTCTCTTAGTTTACTAAGTCTCCCGAAAGACTTTAGTATTTCTTCTCCTAACACTCCTAACAGTCAACTCACTGTTAACCGAAATCTAGTAAAAATGAGAAAGGTCAAAAGGGAAAAAAAAGGTCAGAACTAGGTAAGCAAACAGGTGACACCTGCAAATATTACAAATACAGTGAAGAGTATGGAAACTTGTTAGGAAAGACATCTATGGCCAAAAGACACCCCGTCCTCTGTCACTCTACCTGGGTGTTGTTGTTATTTGCGCCTTTGTTATTGGTGAGTTTTAATTTCCCAAAGGAAATCTCCTGTCTCATCCAGTGGGAACCAGTATTAGGAGACTCTGGGTGAACATACATTTTGTTGCCTAAGAGAAAATGAAACAAAACACAAAACCCAAGCAGATAGGGCTGATTACAAATGGACATAGGGGAGGGATGTCTGTTACTTCTGGGCAAAGATCTGAGAGACAGTCTTCTGGCACAAGGCTCCCCAGGACTCTGTTCTCCACTCTCCAACTAGACTCCACTGACAGCCCTCCCAGGGCCCCGGTGCTTCCTGCCTTCCCTTGACAAGGCAGTCTTCTTAATGCTACCTCCAAATAAAAAACGGGAGCCACCAGGAGATGTCCCTTGAAGGTCAATTTGGGCCCTTCTAAAGCTGGAAGGGCAACATCTCTGATGGAAAGTGGCTGGGTTCTCATGTGGACTCAACCTTGAGCAAGGCCTTCTCAAGTGAAGGTTAGAGTATCAGGAGCCCTTTCCACTAGAGCATTTCATAGGAATTGGTGGTGGGGGGGGGGGGACTAGGGTCATGGTTAAAAGTATCCAAGTTTATACTGGTAGGCAAGAAATGTGACTTGGCAGTTCTCTCCCACTCTCCCCGCCCGTTTCAAACAATCAATATCAAGCAAACTCAGACTAACACCTCTAGGCCCCAGACCAGGGTGGAACGTGTTGGATTTAAATGAATTTTTTGAGTCAGGGGTTCCCCGCCCGCTCCTCCCCTGCCTGGGCCTCCTCTCTCCTCACCCTGCATGTTACTGTCCGCCTTGCCGCAGGTCACCCACTTGCCCCCCTGGAATCGCCAGTGGTTGGGGTCCGCCAGCACCACCTCTACAAACACGTTGTAGTGGGCAGTGGGATTGAGTCCGTTTATGTTGAAGCTCAAGAAAGGAAACATGCGCCTGTGCAAGGGAACAGAACCAGGATCAGCGATTTGAGTCCCGATGCCTGAAAGCAGGCCAGGTCTGCCCGCATCTGGGGTGGGTAGGCGGGAGTAGGACATTGAACAGCCTACAGGAAGAACCGAATACCGGTACAGAAAGGGGCCCTAACTCTGCGAAATACGCCAGTTGTCAACTCTTGGAACGTGTCTGTTTTCTGAAACCGTTTGCCCCAAAGTCAGTATTTCCCACATTGAGGTGCTGCCACACCCTCTCCCCACTCAAGTCCTTAATTTTTCTACCAGGATGTTAAAAATCATTCATTTTTCTACGTTTAAGGGCCAGAGAGCAACATTCAGCTGTTCCTGCTAAAATTTTTAAATTGTACTCGCCAGGTTAAAAGCTCCCCTCGAGCGCCCCTCTCCCGGCACCCACCGCTAGCAGTCGGACGGGGGTCAGAACTTTCTCACGTCCCGAACCCCGCCAGGTCCGGCTCCAGGGCCTGCCGAACGCACTGCGGGACCAACTAAGCCTCTGATGCCGCCTCCCCCAGGCGCCCCACGGCGACTCTGGCGCCGAAAACTGCGGGAGCCCACCTACTGCGCTCAGGAAGCCAAGCTTTGCGCCTTTCCCCCGCCGCGGCTCCTCGCGGGTATGCGGGGACCGGCTCGGTCTGCCGAGCGGGCGGTTCTAGTAAACCCAGCCTTGTGGACAAGCCCCGATTTCCATTTCCGCCTCCTCGCCAGTCCAGACGAGGGTGACGGGAGGGGAAGGGAAGGGGGGGAGGGGGCAGCTGTAACGTTAGCGCCGCGCGCAAACCGGTGCGCGGACCCGGAGGGACACCCGACTGGAGGTGCGCGCGGGAAAGCGCCCTCCGAGCGTAGCGCTGGGCGAGCGGGCACAGCTCCCTCACCCCCGGCCTTCCCCAGGACCACGCAGTCAGTCACTCAATTGCCATTCACCTCGGGGCCCCTCCGCGCTGCTCTCACCTGCCCTGTTTCGTAATGATCATCTCGGTTTGGTGGCGGTGGAATTTGAGCCACAGAGGCCGGTTGCACAGGTAGACGTGGGCACGGAAGCCGGAGCCAGGAACCCCCAGCCCCCCCAGTCCTCCGCAGGACCCCGCGGCGGCCGCCCCAGGGTACGGCCCGTAGAGCGGGGCACCCTGGCTGTACTGATAGGCCCCCGGGCCGCCTGCCCCGCCGCCGCCGCCTCCCGCGCCGCTACTCGCGCCGGCTCCCGGGCCGAACTGCGCCCTCCCAGGTGGGCACACCGCCGCGGGGAAGCCGCCGGGGGGCAGCATGGAGCCGTAGGGGTAGCGCGCCCCGTTGGGAGCAGGGTACACAGATCCGTGGGGCGCCCCGGCCGCCGCCTGGTAGGGGAAGAGCGAGCAGGGCGCGGCCAGCTCGGAGCCCTGAGGCCCGGGGGACTGGAGGTAGTAGCGCTCCGAGCTCAGGCTGTCCATGGAGTACCGCGCGGTGGCGGCGGCGGCGGCGGCGGCGGCGGCGGCGGCGGCTGCGGCTGCGGCGGCCGAGGGCAGCTCCTCCTCCCCGCAGGGGGAGCCCTTGCGGCCGTCCGGGGGCCCGGGCTTGGCCACTGCCGCGGCGCTGGCGAAGGCGTCCCCGGCGTCGGCGTCACTGAGCATGGCCGCGGGGGCCCCCGCGCTGGCGGCCGTGGGCTCCCCGCTCCCCGTCTCGCACGCGAGGCTGCCAGGGAACTTCTTGGGCGCTTTGTCTAAGTCCAGCCTCTGAGGCGAGGGGGCCGCGCCAGGGAGGTGGCCTGCGCTCCCGCTGCCCCCGCCTCGCGCACTCTCCAGCGGGTAGAAGTGCGCGCCGGGCAGGTTCACCGAGCTCACCAAGAGCTGCTCCCCTAACTGCATGCTTTGCAAAGCGCAGACGGCAGCTGGCTGCTTCCTCTCCTCCCGCGGCCTTAATATAAAGGCAGGATGGGGGAGCCAGCGCCCTCTTCCGAGGGGAAGGTAACTTCCCCTTCCTCCGGTGCCGGGGCTACCCACCTGGCCGCACGCGGGCCGCTAAGGCGCGCGCTCGCGCGCCCCGAACACAGCGCCCTTTCCGCCGGGAAAGCGCCCTGGGTTTGAAGGCAGGAGGTGGAGATTGACCGAAAAAGCACTCTCCTTTTCCTTCCCCGTCCTTCTCGCCTCTCTGGACCCCCGTCCTCCTCCGCACTCACCCCCCAGGAATAAGAAGATTTAGATCTCTGTCCCTATCCACCCACCAGCGCTGCTATAGCCTTTCTGCCCTTCTCCACTGCCCAAGTGCGGGTCAAGTTGACCACTTGGAAACCTGCAGCCTGTCATTGGCTGCTTTATATACGTGCGGCCAGGGAGGGGCTTCGCGGCCCCACAACCCCGGGGGCTCTCCCATTGGCTGACGGAGGTGACACTAATTCAATTAGGCATTTACTAATTGGATCATGTCGATTGCGACTTTCTTTTCCTTTAGTCTTTTTTTTTTTTTTTGAGACTGTCCTACTGTGAGAATCAATCGTGGTGTCCGTATTTTGGTGTTTAGGGGAACAGGGTTTGGGGTCTCCTTAGCGGGGTCCGCTGCTGGCACAGAAGTCATCTCAGCACTCGGAGAGGAGGATGCCGGGGCGGGAGCAGGTTTTAGAGGCTGGCACGAGAAAGGCTCTGCAAGCCGAAAGCTTGCAGGAGGCACCGGTCCCAGAGGGTGGGGATCTGGGCACGCGAGGTTTCTCTCCACATCAGGAGTTGTACTTCAGGTACACTTTCCTCCCGATGGTGGAAGGCTCCCAGGCCTTCAGCACACAAGAAACCCATTTTGTTCGGTCCCACTCTTTTTACTTATCGGGAAGGGTTCGTGAAGAAGAACCTCGCCCTCGGCTTTTGGGGTTCCGGGGTCGGTGAGAGCACAACGTCATCCTTGAGGACCCAGCTTATGAATCAGAAGCCCGGGTGGGGTGGGATACTGGAGACACCCTCATCCTCACGCCCACACGCCTGCTTTCAGGAGGCAATCGCATTTGCTCCCCACAATTTAAAATCCACCGCAGCTCAGTTTCCCTGAACCTCGGATTCCCTCCACACACCATCTTCAGCTGGGCCTGGCACCAAGAGACAAAGGTTCCCCAGCAGCAGTGCGGTTGAGATTCCCTGCGCCTCTCCTCTGCGGCGCAACACAGAAGGTAGAATAATTAGTGAAATAATCAGTTTGATATTGAATCAAGCCCTTTTGCCCCAGCTGCCTGTTTCTCCCTTGCGCTTCCGCAGACAGTAGAGTCAAGAGTGGTGCCGTCTTATTTTATTGTTTTATTACCGAAAAGGGGGCAGGCACGTCTCATTGCGGGTAAGGAGAAGCATGAATATTCGCTGTTAATAAGCAATTACAGACGCGGCTTGTAAGCGCTCCGGGAGCGCATTTTCCGGCTGAGATGTTGGGACTCTGCTTCCCCAACCGAACGCGATCACACGGGAAACTCGTAGCCCACAACAGATGAGGCGGCCGCAGGATTTGCTGAGCGGGCACACGCCAGTGCAGAACGGCTCGAAGCCTTCCGACCTGGGCTCAGACCGCAGCAGCGCCAGCCGACATCGGCACGTCTGGGGTAGAAACCGAGACGGTCCGTAACACACTCGGACGCTCCAGGGAATTTACCAGTTTTTCGGGGGGGGGGGGTGAAAACCGGGGGTGTGAGGTTGTCGGGGTCAGGCCACAGTCAGTGGAGAGCGAGCACAGGAAGCGAGTGGGCCGGGCTGCGGCCCCGCAGGTCCTGGGCAGAGCGGCCCGGGAGCGCGTCCCTGGAAAGTGGCCCAGCGCTCCTAGCATTTCGTCCTGCCAGTAGAGTTCGGGTTTGACGTGGCTCTCCGCTCTGCTCACCCAGCCTTCCACTCCCACCTTGCGCCTTTTGTTTTACTTCGACCCATGGAAGTCTGGGAGAATTGAATTTTTCAAGTACTTTGTGCGTTTGAAGACTTCGTCATTGCCAAAGTGATGGGGAGTCCGTGGGGGGTCGCGAGAACCGGAGAGGAAGGGGCTGCGCGGTTCGGGCAGCTCGGAGACGTAGTCCGGGTTTGGGGAACCTGGTTACACGACTCGTACACGGGCTTCTCCACGTTAGGCTGGACCTGAACCGCACGCGGGACGTGTGAGGGAAAAGTAGGGGTGAGATCGAATCTCACAGTATTTGGAGACAGGGTGGCTGAGGGTAGTAGATACCAGTTTTGCGCTTTATCACAGAGAGAAAGCGGGCTTCCGTGTCCCTTCAGACCGCTTTCGAGGCGGCCAGGGAAGCGCTGCGCGTGGCAAAGTGCCATCGCAGGCAACAGGCATCGTTCCGACCCACTCTGGCGCAAATAACGCGGGCCAGCTGTCCCCCGCGCCACATCAGAAAGGGTTGATTTTATTCCAGCCCCAGAGCAAGCTCTGAAAGCGCGTGGGTTCATTCTGAGTGCTACCTAATTATTAAATATATACACTGTATGTGTGATCAAGATTAACGTGTACTCTTGGCGCGGGAAACTGCAGTTTATATCTCCTCATCTCCCCGATATATCTATTATTTTACCCAAACTTTAACACATTTGACAGATGGAGAAATAAAGAGGAATTCAAAGAGAATCAAAATCCAAGCTGCACAAAACTGCTCTGAAACCTGGGATTTGGGGAACATGGAAAACATATCCATGATTTATATTGCATTTGTAAGTTACAAATTACTTTTTGACATCATAAAAAAGCACTGTTTCAACTAAAGATGATTTTCCCCCCTGACAACATAAAGAAATCTCATTGTATTGTATGGTTTTTCCTGTATTGACTAATTGCATTATCATTATCGTCACATATGGAATATACTAATCTAAATGCCTGAAGAGTTATAGATGAGCAAATCTGTGATTTCCTACTTGGAATGGATTTTCTTTTGCTGGCTCAATTTTACTTATAATCAGAGAAAGAGACATAAAAAATATTTTCATGTATCCCAGCCAAACTTTAAAATCCATGCACTCTTTTCCAGAAATGGGAACAGAAAAGAAAGCTAAAGCAGTGGCTTCAGTGAGCATGTCAGGCAGCACCCTCCTAAGATTGGGTGGGCAAATAACAGCGCCTTCCAGCCTGTTTGCTGTTTGATTTCAATTACACCCCAAGCTTCATGAAATCCAAATGAGACATTTATTGAAAGGTGCCTGGTTTTATGTGGCTCAACTGACAGTGTATTGGAATACATTGAACAAAAACATCAACATTGGGGAGGAAACGTGGAGACCCCTTGGAACCCCAGACCCAAATGCCGGCTGGATTAACTCAAATCTTGCACCTTTCAGCCTGAGCTGGAGCAAGCAGCACCCTTTGAAGGCTACCGGAAAGCCCAGGCCAAGCCTGTGTGTGAGCCTATGGAAGATCTTTATGCTCTACTGGTTTAAGCTTCATGCCACCATCTCATCCTGAGAACACAAAGTTATTGCCAACCCGGGGCCAGGTGACCTCTTTACCCATCTCTCCCCACTTAAAGGTAACCACTATCGGTACATTCTTTTAAGAGCAACACTGAGAAGCATTTTGCTAGAACAGGAGTATTACACATCAAATACATATGCATATATATGTTACAGTACATAAGTTACAGGGGTGAGTTATAGATGAGTGCAGTGATATATGGTTTTCCTCCTGCCCTGCCCCCCCTCCACACACAACCAAGGGGGCCCATATAAATGTCCCAATAAATTCTATTATTTTCACCCCCACTAAAAATGTGTTATCAAAACACCGTCCGTGTTATTCAAACACTTTGTAAATTCTGAGCAGACTTGCTGCCGGTTCTCCTTTTAACCCTAGGAAAACATTCCAACATTACCCGGTCACCAGCGCTTCGCCTGGACTCTGGGAAAACGTCAATGGGTGTTTTGTGGTGAGTTGGTCCTTTAACTATTTATCTATGGCCTTTTCTTTGTTGATGTTACATTTTATTTCACCATCTCAGGTTAACTCTTTGGCCCTTTGTTCTCTGCTGGCCAGACCTGCCACCTCCACTGCGCTTTGCAAAGGGGGAGGGAGCTTTCATCACGGTGAAGTTGTTCGTGTTTCACTTTTTTTTTTTCTTTTAAAGAAAATGTCCTGTAAGATAAAACACTTTGGTAAGGACAAGTAGTTTTGATTCTGCTGACAACAGCAAAATACTCCCACCAACCCAGTTTCACTTTTATAAGAATTTATATTTCACCATAACGGTGAAATAGACTGATCACTTGCTTTAAAAAAAAAAAAAAACTCGCCAGTTCCACAAATGTGTGAGGCAAAGGATTACCTTAAACCTTAAACTCACTTTATTTTTTTCAAACAAACATGGAAAATTTAAAGTATTTTCTGAGTTATCAATCTATGTCCTTAGATTGCTAAGAGCAAATATAGTTCACTGGCAAAATCTGAGGAGGTGGGGGAATCGTGAAAAGAAAGTTAAGAAATATACCCAAAGTTGCTCATTATGAAAAATAACTGATGTTTTCTTAAATATTGAATCAAGAATCTTTTTTTATTGAAAGTATTAAGAAAGTATTTTTTAAACTGCAAATGAATTCCTGGATTTCAGTGCTGCCTTATCATTACTTATCATCACATTTATGGAAGTACATAGATTTACATAAATACAAGAAAACCATGTAGGAGCAAAGTAAATGAAGTAAAATATGCTCAGAAATAAATTATGGGGCTGTTTGGCTAATTATTGCTACATTAAAATACGAAAGGATTATACAGGGTTCCACCTGTTTTGCTTACTTTTGAACCCTGAAAGTCCTGACACTTAGTAGCGGTTCATCTGTTAACTGAAAGGAAAGGGTTACTAAACCAGAACAGATAAACTAGCCCAAGGACTGTCAGGTCTCAGGCTTTATAACCATAA